TACAGCAGAACCAAGAGCATATAATCAGGAACTGGGCTGCAGATCATTGACACTTTCTCCTAATCCATTTATTTTATCTCGTGTTTATCTTGCTTCTCAATCCTATTAGCTTAGAAAAAGAGGATACTGATACTACCGCACATTTAGATCTGGAGACGCACAGTTCCAGGCATTAAAGCGTAGGCAGGTTAGGAAGGACACATAAAATGGCACACCGCAAGATGTTAGCTTAAGTCTTTTTTTGGCTTTTTGAAGGTTTTGAAGGTTATTTTCCAATTATCATTGGTCCCTCGCCCATGTGCTGTAAAAATACACACCCGTTAAGGGGTATGATGAAGCCATCACCCTCCAGGGTATTGGGAGCTCAGCCAAAGAGAAGTTCAGCAGGCCTTATCTTTACTTCCTGCTTTACAGAATTCTAAAGAAATTTTAATGATCTTTCTGGTTACATTCTGTGTTATGTTTTACAGTGTCTGATTTGTGTGCTGCCCACTGAGGATTCGTTACAGAAACATAATTAACGCTGTCAGGAAAACAGACAGCTTGCATTCACTCTGTATTAAATGAAGACTGCAGTCCGTGTTCGTTCCTGTTTTATCTTTTTCCATATCCACTACAGTTAGGGACTGCAGTGTCAATCTATGCTTAAATATATCATCTAAAAGAGCAGGAAAATTGGATGCTTTTTAAAAGCCATATTGGAAACAAAATACAGCAAAGCGCTTAACAGAATCCAGGAAAAAAAGCAATGCCTCATTTCCATTAATATGACCTTGGGCATTAAGGTCCATATCATCTGGGACCATCAGAGTGCTCCTGTTGGTGGCTGGTGGGAATGGAAAACCATCCAGCAAACTAAATCTCACCCAGAACACTGCAGCATAACTGAAAGCATGTACTGTATCTAAATACCTGTGCCTACCTAGAGGTTAGGAAAGAAACCTCCGTATCTGTAATTTGAGATGATATGCTTCTGCATGTTCTCTTAAATCTTCAACACCAATTGAGCTGGCCATGGCACTCATATCCACAATTGCTTCTTGGGATCCTATTGGCCCCACTATTGAACAAACACACACTCGTGTACAGTAGTGTCTGGATACATATATTGTTTGTTATTTTGTTGTTGTTATTAAATCTGGCTTCAAAACAAATTGACCGAAAAAACTGCAAAACCCGAGACAGAAGAATGTCAGCAAGGTCCCCATTTCTCCTTCATAGACGAACAGCCTGGTCATGATTATCATCTCCAGCTGCATCGTCTCTGCAGTGGGGCAGCTGCCGAAAGCAAAGTCAGGACCCCTGCCATGTTGGGGCGAATTTGGACAAGGTGCAAGCAGTAGATTTAGAATTTACAGATGCTAAACTCTGTCACATATAGTTCTTTGTGTGAGTAAGAAGGCTCTGTATTTTCCAAGTATCCAAATCACCAGGGATCTGATGTACAGTACTCTGGGCAAGACTGACCTTTTCACAGATATTTAGTAGGCAGCGTACCTGACAAAGCGAGAAGATGGGGAGGTCCCTTTTGAAAGAAGTCTGTACAGAAGAGAATATGAGTCACGTTCATTTTATCATAATGTTATCCATGCTAAAGGAAACCTACCTTCATTGAGAAGATGTGTCCCCTTGTTATTAAACAAAACCATAGAGGACAACAGAAACATTTGTACTGTACGGCACTGCATATTGATGTGTTTTTGTCCCGACTTATTATGAAGTGTTTTAACCAAAAGAATATCAGCGGACAGGAGAGGATGACTGTGGTTTGAGCTGCACAGATGCTTAGGAAGAGAAAGAGACAGATGCTAACTATGCTTTTAACCATGGCTAATGTGCACTCCTTTGTTTGTTGCTCCCATTAACCCCCTCCCCCTCCCTGTTATCTAATTAGCCATCTCAGTGCTAATTTGCTAAAGTAACCTGAACATGAAAAAATCATTTAAATCTGCAATATGAATAAACCTAACGTCAGTGCAAGGTTACAGTGGGATACACGGGCCTTCAGCTGCATTATATAAAGCAAGTTGCTGTGTTTTTTCAATTGCAATGTATCCCTTGTGAAGGATCACCGCAAAGCCAGCAACACTAAGCTGACTGCAACCTGTCAACTGGAACTCCAGCGTAGGAGTTTTCACAGGCCATGTCCTCCTGCAGGTCTGCAGGCTGTGTCTCCCAAGCCGAGAAACATCACCTTCATTTTACTTAATTGCTGTTCTTGCCTGCTTCTCGGAGACAGATGAAAAGCGACATGGGCCAGCTGTAAGATGCCAAGAAAAAACACAAAAGACATACCAAAAAGACAAGGTGAAGGAGCACAAGTTGCAACTGCACAGCGGGTTATGGCCAAGAATATTTGTGGAGGCAGTGATGATCCACTCAAACATATAAAGACTGGCCCTGAGTACCAGGAAGACCAACATTGGCCACTGGCCTATCAGGACTACATTCTCAGATGTAGTCAGACTGTTAACTTGTCTTTGTTTGCAAATACTTAATTGCAATTTCTGCAGAAGAAGACAAAGATAATATGGTAACAGTATTAAGTCCACCCTGTTTCAGTGCATCTGCTCCTGAAGAGCTTATGCAGCCGGAAAAACCGACAGAGCAAAACGTGAAAGGCATATGCAATTACAGAAACACTGGAGGGCTGCAAATTCAGTAGGCCGCTGGGAGTGAAACACTTTTATCATCTTGCAGCTTAATAGAATATTGAATACTGTAGGCCCTCGAGGTACTGCTGCACACCGGGAGGCCGAAAGATCTCCTGTGTTTCATTAAGTTCCTCACTCAGGCCGTGTAACCTTGCTACATGTCCCTTCATCTCAGCAGGTCCCAGGATTAGGTTAAACCAACAGAAGGCTTCGTCTTGTTTATCTTAATGCATTTAACACCTGCGGGCTTTGGAACTTGAAATAAAGCACCTGGCACAAAGCTTTTCACACTGGTTAGCCCACTACAGAGAAGTGCAGAGTCCTACCCTGGTACAAGCTCAACTACATTGCTAATAACAAGCTCAACTATCATGCTATTGCAGGAGAGCACAGAGACTGGGAGGGGCAAAAGTGGCACCTGTTAGCTGTAACCAACACAATCAAAAACTGGAAGAGCAAAGAGACCTGGAGAATGCAGTACAAGAGGACATTAGACCTCAGACAAACTGCACACTGCTACTTTTTGAAATGCCCATGTCTTTCCTGGGATCATAGTTCTGTAACACCTGTCAGTAACACAGAACTAGATTTCAGAACCTGCTGCACATGACAGCAATGCTTCAACAAGAAAATTTCTCAGGCAACGAAAAACTAACCTGAACATCTTTCAGGCACTACTGTAAATACTCATCTTCCAAGTGGGTCAAATATGAAAAAAGCTCATCAAAGGTCATGAAAAGATTTACATGTTTGGTTACTGATAAACCTTAATGCTATGTCTGAAGTTTAAAATAAAGTGATTCTAAATAAGGATTCTGTAGATTCTCCATATAAACTTGCAAACTGAAAGAAATCCTTTATGCCCCAAAAACTGCATTAATAAATCATTTAACATTACAGTTTTCCTAACAGGACCTTGCAGCCAGTGGTTATAAGACAGGATATACAGTACTGCATATTTACTGTCTTTGATTTACGTTATGGCAACAACTACTTAAATACACACTAAACCCTAATTTATAACAAGGAAAAGTGTTAGAGTATGAACTTTCATAGAGTGGAGCTGGGTCACTTAACATCAGGAGAATTATAAGAGCTACTTAAAAAGAAACTTGTATCATGTATCCTAGAAACTGGTTCTTGTGAATAAATGTGGATGGGCTGAATATGTTTTCTCATTTTCCTGGTATGGATTTTTTCTTGTTTTCTATGGTCTTTCTTTTCTATAGATTTTTTGAAGGTAATAAATCTCCACTCTCCATCATTACAGAGACTTCCCTCCCAGTGAAGACAAGATATGCTTATTAACTGTAATTAATATTTAAAGCTTGCAAAATGATCACAATCAATAACTGTATCAGAGAGACAAATGAGAAAAAAAAGAATGGCTCCTATTGCATGAAATTTTGATGTTCCCGAGCTTCATGGAGAAGTGGGAAGGATTTTTGCCCCTGTGATTGGAATATTTTGGTGTGCTGCAGATACAGTACAGTACATGCAGCATTATGGAATTAAGTTTTGAGCAGCTGAAAGTGCAAATTATGATTGTTGTTTGCAGTTTGCTTTACAACTCAATTTGATGTACTGTAAATACACTTTTTTGTTTAATAACCTAATAATAATAATAATAATAATAATAATAATAAAAATTGCTTACACTTATATAGCGCTTTTCTGGACACTCAACTCAAAGTGTTTTACAGGTAACTGGGATCCACTCCACCACCAATGTGCAGCCCCACCTGGATGATGCGAAAGCAGCCACACAGCACACATCAGCTACTGTATAACTGGGGAGGAGTACAGAGTGATTAACTCAGTTCATAGAAGGGGATTATTAGGAGGCCATGACTGATAAGGGCCGATGGGAAATTTGGCCGGGATGCTGGGGTTACACCCCTACTCTTTTTAAGAAACACCCTGGGATTTTTAATGACCACAGAGAGTCAGGACTCGGTTTTACGTCTCATCCGAAGGATTGCGCCTTTTTTACAGTAAACTGTCCCCATCGCTATACTGGGGCATTAGGATCCACATAGACCACAGGGTGAGCGGTGAGCGCCCCCCGCTGACCCCACTAACACCTCTTCCAGCAGCAGCCTCAGTTTTTCCCAGGAGGTCTCTCATCCAGGTACTGACCAGGCTCACACCTGATTAGCTTCAGTGGGCTGCCAGTTGGGAGTTGCTGGGTGATATGGCTGCTGGCAATATAATGATGAACTTTTGCTGTTGGAGGTACAGGATCTGAAATGCTCTCTCAGTAAAGCTGGGTCTGGCAGTGTTAGAGTGTCCTTTTACCAGTCAGTCACAGTTCCTTTTAGTCAAATACTGCTCCATGTCTTCCAGGAGCTGAAGGACAAGGTGAATCAGCTGCTTCCCCTGCTGCCCGTCCTGGAGCAGTACAAGACTGATGCGCGCATGGTGGTGAAGTTAAAGGAGGAAGTACGCAACCTCTCCTTGGTGCTGCTGGCCATTCAAGAGGAAATGGGTGCCTACGACTACGAGGAGCTTCAACAGAGAGTGCTGCTGCTGGAGGCCAGACTACATGCCTGCATGCAGAAGCTGGGTGAGTCTGGGTGAAAGGGGAGTGCAACTGCTGGATGGTGGCTGGTCACTCTTTTAGGGACCTATGTGGAGTTATGTGAAGATCCAACATCTATCCATCCACCCATTTCTAACTGCTTTACCCAGTACAGGATAGCAGGGGGAGCCAGAGCCTATCCCAGCAAGCCATAGGCACAAGGCAGGGTACACTCTGAACGTCAGTCCATCACAGGACAAACACAGACACACTCACACCAGAGCCAATTTTACCAGAAGCCAATTAACACACCAGTATCTCTTTGAGCTATGGGAGAAAACCAGAGCACCTGGAGGAAACGTGGTTAGAATATAAACACTCCACGGAGACAGCACCCCAAATTGAACCCAGGGCCCCAGCGATGTGAGGCATCAATGCTAATCACTGCACATCTGTGCCACAGCGGACAGAATGCATAATCCGCACATGGGGTTCAATTTCTTTTCTGCAAATCAGAACCTAAGATGCTCATTTCAGAATTTCTTTATTTTTCTTAAGAGCCCAGTGTTTTACAGCTGAGGAGGAATGATGATGAAATTGGGAGAGAGCTCCTCACCCAGTTCAGTAGGAGCCAGGCTGCCCAACATGTCAGCTGATGTTAGTCACGATCGACTTCCAGTCCCCTGCCATGGGGTTACTGGAAAGTCACTTCCATCCCGATATCTGGAATGGGTGACATCATCACGCTAATGCACTGTGATTGCTACAATATGTCCTTATACTATCTCCGACACGCCTCCCCCTGGGCTCCTTACCAATACTGTCCCCCCAGCCTCAAAACATCCTCGACTTGAAAGCAAAAAAGGAAAGGTCTCAGAGTAAGACACAGCTGGGGGCTTCTATTATCTTCATCTGAACAGCTACCGTATGCTAGGCAAGATACAGCCAATCAACTCCAACCAGATACAGCTGCCAACCTAACCTGATGAAACAGAAATGGACACTTAATAGTACGGTTCTTTCAAAGAAAAGACACTAATTCTGTTGAATCACAATACTCGGAGGGGGGGGTTTGTAGGGTTTTGACCACTATAAGAATCTGTTTAAGTATGAAGAGTCACAAATCATCAATAAAGAAATCCATACTATACATATACAGTGCAATACAACAACCCTCTTCCAATGATGTCCCATTTTGTTGATTTACAAATTATGTTTACACATTTTTTTCAGGTGAATATTTTTAAACAAGACTTAAATGTCTTGTATAAAGGAAACAAAATCGCACAGCACACTGGTTCTAATAAGGGGTTAGTATTGACATTGAAAGTTTTATCATATTCTTTTCAGTGACCCTTTAACCCTTCCACCCTCCTATGCCTACTTCTTCACAGGCTGCGGGAAGCTGACGGGAGTAAGCAATCCGATCACAATCCGGGCCTCGGGGTCGAGGTTCGGCTCATGGATGACGGACACCATGATCCCCAGTTCGGACAATCGGGTAAGGGAGCTGGGGTTTCTTCTTTAGATAACAGTCACAGGACAGGTAAAGGGACATACAGTATGTAGTTACAGAAAGTCAACACCCGGTGCTGGATTCTCAAACTGACCTACATCTGGATCTCAAATTATCTGTTAATGTGTCGTTTAAGGTTCCAACTATTCTCTGCTGCCCATAACAGTCTTTCCCAACAATCCACATGTCGTCACTAAACTGAAATTACACATGGCAGTCACACAGTAAAGACAGATTCCAGATGCTGGCACTTGGAGAATGCTCTAAACAAAGTGTATTTGTTGCTTAAAATATACAAGATGCCCAATATATTGACCAGGGGAGGTCATAATGTGTTGGCTGTTCAGTATTAGGTTATGGGAGTATAGAACCAACTACATAGCCATGGTGTTGAAGCTCTAATCCTGGTTTCGTTCCAAGAAACAGCTGGACCAGATCCTTGGATCAATAATCTTCTAACTACCAAATGGGTCAGATGGGCTTTTCTAAGCCAGTTTTGTTTCCTTCTTCACTTCTGATGACGCAGGGGAAGTGAATACTCACAAGAGGGAAGTCATCTACTCTTTGTCTTACTTCTGCCTTACGATCTGTAAACTTTCACTTGTCTTTGAAGTGCACTGTTAGCTTTCACCTTGTGGCTGTTCCCTTCTTCCCTGTCCTTTGCATTTATTGAATATACACAGCGTGGGCAATTAGCCATCTACAGATATCCCAAGACATCTACTGTACCTTGCACATCAGCACTGTCTCTCTTACTGAAAATTTAAGCTGGGGGTCCTTAAAAGCTTGGCTTCCCCATAAATGGCCGTGCAATCTGTTCAAGAATTGCCCATGATGTAACAAACCTGTCTGTTTCATAGACAGCTGCTCTGCCTATTCCTGAAGTTACAAGAACTGCTTTAATGAGGGAGGATAAGGCAGTGGTTCTTTTGATTTGCAAGTCGTCATCAGCACCTCCAGGGTGTATCACAATCATGAGTTTCTAACCGATTTATATCTTTGTATTGAGAGTAGTAAGTAAAAACAGGCTTAATGAACTGTTTCGAAAATGCTTTCTTTATTACGTGTAAAAATGTGAAACCCCTTCAAATGGGGTGAAAAAAACCCACAAACTGCGCCTGAAATCATTAGCAAAACTAATGTTTTGGAAAAATCTACAAAAGCCTCACAATTGCAAACAACATATTTAAAATCAATTTATGATTCAAATGAGGCTGCAAATACACTAGGAAAAATAGGACAGCTGGGAGGGGAAGGGATGATAATTTAAGAGAAAAAAGTGACTTGATAAAGGGTTTAGTTTTTTCTGAAAGTATAACACTTCATAACTTTCATAACGAGTGCCAGGATTATCCATTTGGGCTTTAAAACCACTCAGCACTCAGAACCACTCATCTTACAGAAAGAGAGAGAACCAGCACTACTGTCAGTGCGGCAAGGAAATTTAGGGACATTTACAGATCAATCAGAGGCAATAACAAAAACAAGATATCCAGTCAATTACACAATACATTTTCAGTGTTTTTCTTTATATTTATCTGAAAGTAGTCTCTGTTAAAAACACTATTTCCTTTCAACACAATATCTGTCTGGTGTCTCCAGCACAAGACCTGGACTTCACAGGCATCCTGCCCAGCACAGTGTGGCTCCTCTCTCTCAGCATGAAGGTCAGCTTAATAAAGACAAGCTGATCAGCCATCCTTGGTTGAAAATGAAAAAATACCACAGTCTTGAAGCTGAAAAATGGAAAAGAACCTCTCCGACACATTAACTACCAATGGGGGTGACAAAAATGAGAGATTTATGTGTCTGACATTTCGAAGGTCTGCTTGAACCATTTCTTAATGCACATTTTGGGAACAAAGCTGAGGGTTTCTGTATCACATGCAGGCTCTGGCTTGAGTGCCCTTTGGCTCTCCCTGCCCCTCTGCTGAGGACAGACGTCTCTAATAACTCATCTCATTAAGGTGCGGTGGGCCCTGATAAGCCTCCCAGGGTGATTAATGGACCCATCAACAAACCTAGGATTAACGAGTTGTTTTCACAATGCCTGCACCAATCATCACTCTAATTACCTATGCTGTCATCATGCTGGGACAGCGAAATTATAAACAAGATAACCCCCCCTCCCATATGTGCCTCCATTCAACAAGTGTTCTTTCTTTACTTCAGTCTTTAAACTTGCAAGCCGATGTTCATACTGCACAACACAGATGTCGCACTCCAAGAGGACGCCTGGCATACATGGCTAAGCAAATTGCATCTGTCAGGAACCAAAGTTGCCTTAATTAAGCAAAGTGCTTGCCTAATCGATCAATAATTTACAAGTGTTGCCATTCAATAGAATTATGTGACTTAGGATGACCCATAAGGCTAGAGCCTATGAGGTGTCCTTAGCAGGAATCACACACCTGGACCAAGGCCCAGCCATTTGGGCAGTGACAGAATGAGTAAAACGGGGAGTTGGAGTCGGCATCAGCTTCAGATTCAGCCACAAGACTACAAGGTCAAAGGCCTCAGCCAGCTCATATTATTTTTATTCCATTAGGACTTTTTCTCCAGTCCTTGCTAAGACTCTTTCTCTGGTCCTCAAGGACAAGAGTCCTGAGGATTTCACAGGTACAGTACATTTTATTTAGCAACTGATTGAGAACAAAAAAACAGACTTTTCAACTTAGATAATTAAGGGGCTTAACAATCAAGAGAGAGAGGCAGAGGACATGGGAGACGTGGAGCTGTAGTACAGATCACACTGCCCCACTCACGCAGTGATGCAGCTGTGCTTCTCCAGCTTGCCAGTCTAGCCCTGGCTCTGGTGGTCATTAACTCCTCTTCTCTCCTCCACTGTCGCACTCTTGTTCTGCACTGGGTTTATCAGTTCCATTGCTCTGTCCTATAGGTTTGGAAATGATTCCCACCACTCAGAAGTATACTCTGTGCAAATATAAATAAATAAATAACCTTCATGGGCGACATGGTATCGCAGTGGTTAGCATTGCTGCCTCACAGCACTGGGTCTCCAGGTTCAGTTCCTGAGGTGCTGTCTGTATGGAGTTCATTTGTTCCACCCATGTTCGTGCAGTTCTCCTCCCACAGCCCAAAGACATGCTGGTAGGTTATTTGGCTTCTGTGAAATTGGCCCTGGTTTGAGTGTGCTCTGCATTGGACTGGCATCCTGTCCAGTGCGTATCCTGCCTTGTGCCCAATACTTGCAGGGATAGGCTCCGTGGATAAAGTGGTTATTGAAGGTGATGTAAATAACCTTCGCTTGCCCCCCTGTACAATGAAGGAATTGGCCAGACAGTCTGGCACAATGAGGCTGGCAAGAAACTAACCCAAACCCGTGGGTTTCTGGCGTGATACTTAAACAATTTCCAATTTGTTTAGCAGTCAGATTTCCAACTATTAAAATACAGATATGGGGAGAAAAAAGACAGGAAGGGCAGTTAATTTGAGCAGCTGGTGGGCTGCAGTTCACCCTATTCTCCCCACTGACTCAAGAGCCAAGCACGACACTGTGCAATGCAGTGCAAGCTTTTTGTTTCATTAGTATTCAATTTCCTAACTTTTTTGCTTTATCACTTCCCAAAGTTCGATTTTTATTATTAAGACATATAAAGTTGCCCAAAGTCTAGAGTGAGGACATCAAATTGCAGTTTTGGCAAATGCATTTATTCTTAGATCGTGCATGGAACTTAAACACCTGCAAACAAGCTTCACTCTGAATATGTCCTGAGACACAGTAAAAAACCCAACAGCACTGAAAAAACTGCCCTTAAAGCATCAAATTATAGACTTAGAATATTTGTGTTTTATTAAATTTAAATCAATTGGTTCAGAAAGGTTTTATGATACAGCCTGTTAGGAACGGCGATACAGTAAGAACAGCAGAGCCCATCTCTCATGTCTAAGGCCCTTGAAAATTATGGTTGTATCCAAACACACTTGCTACCCTGGCTTTTAGCCTCCTAGTAAATCTTCCCTCAGGTCCTAGTAAATCGTCAGCTTTTCCCTCGTAAAGATCTTTATGGCTCTTCTGAAGTTGATGTGTTTCAAAGTGAAGCTTAACTACGAACAAAAAAATTGATAACATCATAAAATCGCAAAAGCCTGAGGTTGACGTTGATTGTTTAATTATTCTCCGGCTCGGTTTTATTGGAGAAGTCTGACATCTTGAGGTTTTGAACTTAAAATCCTGACAAGCTGGGCTGTCTGAATTTCTGAGGCTTTATCTTCGGATATGAGAATTTATAGGTCATTACGGAGTACAAAAATATCTTCTACTTTAGATCAGCTTCCATTTTTTACCAAAGTCTTTTTATAATGATCACCATCACAAAGCCCTTTAAACACAGAGAAATATAAAATAGACAAAGACAGACAAAGAATCACCAAGTGATATAAGAAATAGGGTTATAATGATGTAAAACCCATTTATAAAGGACTGGATTTACAGCATTTTACATTGGTATGCATTTTCACAACACTCAAACTGATATACAGTATATACATGTATAGACGCACAAGAATTAAATCCCTAAATTATTTTGCAGATTTATAGCCAATTATGATTCTTTTCTAAAGGTTTGAGATCCTATTCTACTGTATAGATCAGCGTATGCAGTCTTGCGTCTTCCTCAAATTAATATACAATTGTCAGCCTGTCCCCGATCAAGTAAGTGTTAACACACACAGCTAGGCCTGTTTATTACAGATCAGTGGATGTCAGTGCCGTTACAAACACTGCATTAATTAACTTCTGAAAACTTCAGATCCAGCGCTCTTTCCATTACCTCAAAGAAGCCCCAGGGTATCAGGCAGATATCACATAAGTGACCTGCCAACCCTTACGTTATTATTTTCATTTTAATTTTTTTTTGCTCATCAACTGGCCGACAGGTCTTAATTTAATTTCAGCAAAATTAAAATTAAAAAAAAGACACACGGCCCTGTCTGGGTTGATTAAGTCGTCCAGCAGAAAACGAGATGCGATCGCAGCAGATCAGAGGAGGCCGTCAGCAGCAACGCCAGCATGAGGGCCCTGCACTCCTCCCGATGCTGGTTCAGATCTTAAATTAGTATTGATTCTGATTGCTTCCGCCCAGTCCCGCTCAGAAAGCCATCCACATCCAAAGGCCATCAGTCAAAAGAGCTGAACCTGGCACTTAACTAAGGACGTGACCTCATATTATTAATAAATCCTGTAATAAACCACGCTGGTGTGCTGGGAGAGGGAGGAAAGGGCAGAGGGGTGTCTTTTCATTGTCATGCCCATAGTACTAGAAGCACTGTTGTTCTAGAAGCATGCGACTGTAAATAGTCAGATGCTTCAGGGCATTTAAATTAAACTACAAAACTAGAAACTAGAAAACACAGGGCTTGCAAAAGGAGTCGTGCTCGCCACTGGCTCAAGATCCCAGCTGCGTAAGAAGGCAGCCGAGGTGCAGAGTGAAAAACATCGATGTCCAGCAGAAGTGTGTGTCCGGTCAATGCCCACCCTGCATGCTTTCAGAGTGTGTGGCACACTCTTGTGTCCCACATATGCCAAGAGTTGCGTTCTGTAAAGGCATATTCAGTTCAAAAACAAAACCACACGGTCAGAAAAAGTGGTCACAGGGTGTTATCTGTCATTTTTAGATTCCCACGCTCCTCAAGCAATTTCCTTGCCCCGCCCTTCCTTGAAAGCCTGGAATAAAAACAATCTATTAACAGAGGTGCCTTTGGAAATACATGCCCATGTGCAGGACATGCTAGACCGTGAACCTTAGAGATGCCTCCTTCTTTTTCTGGGACTCTTAATTGGTGATGGCCATGCTGGACCTCAGTCTGACCTGCTCAATTACAGAGATGTCAGAAATCCACTGCCTCCCTAACGACCATGCAGGATCTCCAAACACAAACCCCTTGCTCCCTCCACCATGGTCATTAGCGCTCGGGAAGCAATTATCGCTCCCCCACGCTCGCCTATAGGGAGCTGGTTGGGACGTTCTCTTTACTGAGAATAATTAGCTTGATAAGAAATTTTTCAAAGCAGAAAATGATGGAGCGTGATCTCCTCACCGTGGGTGGCCGTCACTGAAAATCACAGCCTGCTGGGAGCTGGCTAGAGCTCTCTTCCCTGCTCCTCAACCCTGGAAAACAGCCATTACAGACTTGGCTCTATTATTTTTTAAGTACACAAAGTAATAACAGGGTCACTTCACAGTTCGTATTGCCCTCCCAAGACAAACTGATGGGTGATCTGCACCGTATTTGTTAAACAGTTTCAGACACACTAAGGTTACCGTGACAAAATATCAAAACGAAACATTAAAAATCCCTTCTAGGATTCTTTAATAAGCTTTTATAAGGCTCCTTTTAATAAGGAAAAAAATAAACTTAGGAATGTAGCATGTTCTTAATGACTATGTAAGTCTGGGCACCTCTAACCCCGCTTGCTCCTGCAGAGCCCCAGTCCAGCAGGTATTGTAGATCACCATTAAATCCTTTGGGAAAACACACTTGTGACCCACTGCTGGTGAGCTGTTAAATGAAGTTCTTTATGGTTAATTCTGAACAAAAACCTTCAACCCCCAATGACCAAAGTCCCTTCAAATTAACAAATTCCACACTGAATGGGTCAAAACGATTAACGATGATCATGAAATGATTTAGGGTGACCAGACTGGGGCACTCCAGGACACACCTTGCCAAAGCCAGAGGTCATGTATTCTGTCTCTCTCCCCCTCTCCGCAGGTGTGGTCAATGGACGGCTACTACAAGGGCCGCCGAGTGCTGGAGTACCGCACCCTCAACGACTTCATGAAGGGCCAGAACTTCGTGCAGCACCTCCTGCCGCACCCCTGGGCCGGCACGGGGCACGTGGTCTACAATGGCTCCCTCTACTACAACAAGTACCAGAGCAACATCATCATCAAGTACCACTTCCGGTCGCGCAGTGTGCTGGTGCAGCGCAGCCTGAACGGCGCGGGCTACAACAACACCTTCCCCTACTCCTGGGGCGGCTCCTCCGACATCGACCTCATGGCGGACGAGAACGGGCTGTGGGCCGTCTACACCACCATCCAGAACGCGGGCAACATCGTGATCAGCCGCCTGGAGCCGCAGAGCCTGGAGGTCCTGCAGACGTGGGACACCGGCTACCCCAAGCGCAGTGCGGGCGAGTCCTTCATGATCTGCGGCACCCTCTACGTGACCAACTCGCACCTTGCCGGCGCCAAGATCTACTTTGCCTACTACACAAACTCCTCCAGTTACGAGTACACGGACATCCCTTTCCACAATCAGTACTCCCATATATCCATGTTGGACTACAACCCTCGTGAGAGGGTGCTATATACTTGGAACAATGGACACCAAGTGCTGTACAACGTCACACTTTTCCACGTCATAAAGACATCAGGAGACGCGTAAAACACTGTAGGAGCCGCCCTCCGCACACACCGCCACACAGTGGGGGAAAGGGAATCCTGAGACTTTTTTTACATCTTAATACAAATCTTAATAGAGTGCTATTATTTATAGACAGCGGGGAAAAGGACAAAGGCAACGAAAAATAAAAGTCCAGAAATAAAGAGATAAAGAAATTAATGACTTTTTTTTTCTTTTTGTGGTCCGTGCGCATGGTTTCATTTTTGTGACAAGAAATAAACATTTACCTTTGCCGTTTAAGAGGCTGCTTTTTATTTTATTTCAAAAGACCTTTGTCTTACGGGGCTCGATTTGGAACATTAACTAGTGCTACAATCCTCCCACAGTCCAAAACCCTACTGGTATAGTTTGTTAACTGGCTCCTGGGAAAATTGGCCTGGGTGTGAGTGAGTGTGTCTGTATTCGTGTCTGTGTCTGTCCTGATTTGGGCTGGCATCCCGTCCACGGTGTATCCTGTGTTGTGCCCGTTACTTGCCATGGTAGGCTCTGGCTCCCCCACAACCCTGAAAAGGGGTTTGGAAATGGCTGGGTGGATAGCCTAATACTACAAAATGTAAACATTTTGTTATATTTCCTTTCTCTTTGCACTTACCAAATGCCACTGCAACACAATTGCTCACTGCATGATCATGCAATTCCCTCAGAAAAACCAATTTTGCAGATAATCCTACCTGTGCAGAGACTTGCCTGCTTGTGGATCCAAGAACATTACTGGACATTTTCTTCAGCAATCCTTGTGATTCAGCAATGATGTGTACTGCATGTCACATAGACTGTATGTCCCATACAGAAAAAATCTCAATGAAGCTCTAACACAGAAGTGGCTAAAGATGTTTAATACCACCCATAGCCACGTTTATACCTAAGCAGTTAACCGTACAAACGGAATGCTGTCTCATCTACTGTTCCTTATAATGGGAAAACAGCGACAAATCAGAGCTGTTCCTAATCACCATCATTCTGAAATTAGTTATACAGGATATATTGAACACAAACCCTTCATATTAGTCTCCAGCAGGGCTTCTCCTCCCCATTTCCACCTTGCAGCTACCCCTTGATTCACTCCTTTCTGAATGTGGTTTTAGCCTCCTGGTCTTATGGCCAGGAGGCTGCCATACTTAACCAAGTAGGTTAGGCCAAACCTATCTCATTCAGTATTCCAAACATTCATAAACATTCAGTTCTTGGATGTTGTTGTTCCTAGTGAACCCTGCAACATTAGCATGATAGCCTATTCTCCTTTGTCTGTTACTGTACCTTACAGCTGACAGCTGATATTTAGATCTGAACTGGATATAAAACACAGCACTGAATGTTTTAGTAAAGAAAGCTAAAAATAAGGTTTACGTTTCTTAATTTACTACAATTTTACAAGAAATAAATAAATCAGTATGATAGTCATTGATAGTTGGGTAACCACCATAAATCACTCGGACGTTTGCTTGAAAGCACTGTCTCTGCACCTTAAATAAAGCGTTGCAGGGATATGAGCATGTACAGTAAGTATGGACAGAGCCTAAGAATCCTGAATTATTAAAAGAAAAAGAAAAAATGTAGTCTATCTGCCAGAAGGAATCTCACAGGTGACTACTCATTGAGAAAAAGCAACAAGCAGCTCAACTGTCTATGCATCTCCTCCACTGAGGGGTATTTTTACATGCAAAGGGCTGTGTGGCCCAAGCGCATTTACATCCCTAGTTTCTTTTTACAGTCAAAAATCAAATCAGGACACAGGGATGATATGCAACATCACATCAAGCCTAAAACTGGGCAGCTGCTAACACATCTGGCAGCTTCACGTTGAACATCCTGCAGGGCCTCATGAAGACACCCAGACACATCTCGGGGGGCTTGGGCAGCTTCTTTTAAAATGGCAAACCTCTGCGAACAAGCCACAGCTCGCTTATGTCATATGGTGGAGCTCCCGAAATGTGTTTCTCCTTATTCCCAGATACATACTGTACAGAGACAGAAAAGGATGACTCCAATCTAACGTAATAAAACCTAACCACACCAGGGTTTCTGCATATCTCAGTAGCCTCCTATGCAAGCATTCTGCAACACATACTGTATTAGATTCACTTTATTGACCACTTAAAGTGGAAATTTGTCTTAGGTTTCCCCTATTACAAATAATACAATTAATTAAAAAAACACAAAATACAATTCAGATAGAGCACTAGGGCAGATAACGCACTTAAATAGACACTAGGATGGCCATGCACATACTCATTCACAAAGATCCTAAGTCTGACGGTCAGAAGGAGTGAATAGCAGTCAAATATTCCTAGAATTGAAGGATCCTGAACGGTAACGGCTACAGTACACACAAGACATTCCTACCTGGCTGGGAACCTGGTGAAAGAGGGGTGATCACGTGTAAACAAGAGGATCAACCCCAGTGGAGCTGCACTTGGAAAATAAATTAAACTCATTGTGGCCTGTCGCTAGAAAACTCCTTGTGCCACCCCCTGCCAGGTCTGGTAGTGCTGATTTCGCACGTAAAATCGCAGTCTCCTTAGGACATTCTCTCAGTCAGGCTAGGCTCAGAAATAACCAGGAAAAAACCTGCTTTGTTAACACCACCATTACTGAGGCGTAAAAGCTGATTCTCCCCGAAGCATCTGCCTCGTAAACACGTGCCTCCATCTCTCTCCATCACCCTTTGAAACCGCAGGTGGTGCGGACACGCCGGCTCAAAGAGCACTGGGCCGCATTTACTAAATAGATGAGATCTGCAATCTAATCAGCTCTTGTGAAAACACGCGCCTGCAAAGATGCTGCTGTTCTGGACTTTTAGCACTTAGTAGCACTCCTAGGAGCAAAACTATGGGCAGTGGCATAGCAATGTGAGGCCCCCTCGAGTGAGCAGCAGGTGTGGGAGGATCTGCAGTCCCGCACGATACTCCTGAAGAATACAGGCTTGAATAATGTACGACTGCAGCAAGCCTACTTGCTGAACGTGCATAATGAGTGCCGAGTTTTACATGATGCGAATTCAATTGTCACAGTGAGCAAGTCACCTTGTAATACCTAGCTTTTCCTATTTCTTTCAGATTATGCAAAATTGTAACTTCTGCTTTAAAAAAAAAAATCAGAAAGCATTTCTAATGCCCAAAAATGCCAGCCCAAATCAAACTAATTAAATAATCTTCTGCAACAGACACTGACAGCAGCCCAAAATGAAAAAGGGGATTTGACCTCAATAGGTTTATGGTGACTTCTAGTGAAATAGCTCTGTGCCATGTACCGTGTAAGCATGTGCTTTCATAGAAAAATCATTTCAGCGCCAGAGAGCAATCCAATAGTTTTAATCTTCAAGTCTCTCAGATAAGAACGTTCTGAGCACAACACCTGCACAAAAGAGAGGGTACCTATTATTTTGATGATAGTGTTATCTAGGTCCCACAAAGGAGATATTTACAGAAGTAAAGTTACTGAAAATTATATTTTTGGTGCGATTCTATTGGAAAAAATATTTAGACTAATAAGATACATGCAGAATATAGATTTGGACTTTATTTAACAGTGCCTGTGAAAAACTCTGAGCATAACAGTAAGCATTTATGAACTGAAAGCCACGTGTCTAACTCTCCTTTGGTGTGACATAAGCATATCAGGACAGTGTTAGTGTGACAGACGAGCTATTTAAAGATGAACTGTTGCATGCAATCAGCATTTACAGCATTTCCTTGCTTTGTCGTTGTTCATATGAGGACATCTTCGGCTTCATTTGTTAAAAACAACAAAACACTCAAGAGTCAAGCCATCGCAGTGCGTTGGTTAACACAAAACTTTCAAGCCCCCTCCCCCATGAGAGACCTAGGTTCAGGTCTTGCACGCTGCATTTACTACATCAAGAAACAGAAAGAGAAATCAAGGAACAAACTGTGGTTTATAGAAATCCCTCCACGTTCATAGAAATAAGAGGATGGACATTAACACCAGACGTCATCTTAACACAAGGGTAGCTTACCTGGTCTAGCCATCACTGCAAATTATGGGAAGCCCATAGTCACAGGCCTCTGTGACTCCGGGGGAGGGCTCGAATAACCAGACATCTTAATCATGTTTCAGTGGCTGATTGCAAAGCATTTTAATGAGGAGCAAAACGGTTTCCTTCAGCTGCCCATGGAGCTGCTTTTTAACAGGGCCTCTCAGTTGGAGGCAGAGTTGGGCGCGGACGTGTGTGGGCGTCTGAGCGATCGCAGGCAGTTACCTTCAAGACGTGGAAATGAATGTCTGAAGTGCCTGGGTGCGCCAGCCTTCAGCGCAGAGCTTCAGTGCATTTTAGTCTCACTCAGGAAGAGACTGCACACACTGGCGTCTTCATACACAAGAAAGGGCTCGCTTTTAACGGCACTTGCATTATAAAAAAAAGAAAACACTCCAGGGCTCCCTGGCTTTTCAATGTGCAGCATTCCAGACACACTTCTGAGCACAGTTACATCAGCTACAACTACTGAGAGCTTAGAAGGGCATGTTTCAGACCTGCACATTAGATTACATTTCATTGCTAATCTTGTGAAGGGCACACAATATCCGTCCATTAGCCTATCCAGAATTGGTTTATTTTGATATAAATGGAATTCATCCACTATAAAACCAGCAATAAAAAAATCTTGCACATCTGGTTAAAGATGACATCTGTCTTTACTGTGCTCCAGTAAAATAAGGCAAGACCTTCAGAGGTTGTGCAAAACAGCAAAGTCTAAGAAAATGTCTGTGCATTAAACTATTAAGATGTGCTGGCCTTTGAAGGAATGTGTCATGAGAGCTGAGTTTCCTTTCAAGCCACAAACCAAAAAGGAGTGTGAAGTCTTCAGTACTCATAAACATCCACAGCAAACAGCTCGTTAGTCTGTTCTTATGTGGTCTGGTCTTAGTAGATTTTCCCTAAACAGCCTGTGCAATGGCTCTGTACTTTTGCAATTACCTGTGGTTACTAAGTGCAGGAGCTACTTTGAGTAACTCAATTTGCTTCCCTCACAGTCTTCAAGACTAAGATGATACAGTTCTCTTAGCCTGTCAGTGCAAGACATTTCTGCAAGTACAATCCTTTAATGCACCCTTTTGGACTGAATACAGAAAAGCAATGTATCTTTTATAATATGGTGACCAAAACTGTAAATGTACCCCTGAGATGCAGTCACATACAGCATAGAAGCAATATTATCATATTTGAGTGGCCAGGGCATTGTAACACCACATTTTTATTAGTG